ATATAAACTGCTTGGTTTCCGTCTAAGGGCACGTGCGAAACGGAAACTAAGCTACTTCTTTGAGTCACCCCCCTCTAAACTTAGATAAGAAAAGTGTAGTAAGGAATCTAACAATCAAAATACTATGAAAATTTTATTAAAATCTTATTATTAATATTTGTGAGATATATAGATCAGCAGCATGCTCCTCTCTAGTCGCAATCCACTCAGGTGGTTCTCGATCTGTAAAATTTGAATTTATGCAAACGTTGAGCATATTGTTTTAGTTATTTATTTACGTACTCGCTTACCAATTACTATTCAAAGAGACGGAGAGATGAAATCAGCTTGGTACTCTTAATTAAACTGTTTTATTTTCCGTAGTTCTATCTTGTATTAACTCGCTGAAAAGATCAATAAAATTCTTTCTTATCTATAAGATAGTTGAATACTAATCATAGTAATTCATTTATAATATGAACAATAAATAAGAATGCAATATAATAGTATGATCTATTTTATATGTAGTGCAAAAGATTTAAATTAAAGATTTTCCAAAACTTTTATTCGTTCCTGAGTGTCTTAATTTGACTTCCAATTCTATCAAAAAAAATCAGAATTCTATGTTGATATCGTAGTCTACTGTGCGATGTGATGTTTACAGTCCTCCAATCATACTGTATGCTTCTGTTTACCACTTTTTCTGACCTGAAACTGATTCACTGCCAGTGAAAAAATTTGCACGAACGTAGCTGCCCTTTCCTGCGAGGCCGCTATCAGTGGTCTTTAATCGTGTGGTCTTTTGTGCAGACGTCAGCCCCTCGCACCCTGAGAGGAGCAAAAATGTAATAGATGATTGTACAGTAACTATATTTTACTATTCTGAATCGCAGTCTACCTTACAGTATTCCTCAACTACATATCTACAGTATGTCAAATGGGCAAAACGATACTTCCAATCGAAATGTACGAAACAGGCATTAGGGGATCTCAGAAGTAAGAAATCAGATATTAAGTCGTTTAGTCGCGGAATCAAGTATTATGAACTACCTCCCTATCTCAGGGGCAGGGGTGGCGGGTTGCGCACTTTATTCGACTCTGGCGAAGGATGCTTTTCTCTTACTTATTCCATTTGAAACAGCCGTTTCTTGTACAGGAAAACATCACTGTTGTCCTAAAACCAAATTATCTCACTAGATGCGCAGCCACGGTCACGTTCAAATGAAGTATGCAGCCACGCCCTTCCTATCTTCGGGATATTGGGCGTATATAATTTGCTTAGGCTCACGAGGTTGAGCAGGGTGGAATCGTCGTCATTTTTCCTCCACACTTCGACCTTTTTCGGGTCCTACAGAGCTTGAAAATGACTCATATTTCAGTGTGGGAGCAACCACACTAAGCGCCTTCTCTTTCACGAAATTTTAAAAAAGAAAAACTCCCTTTGATCAAGCCGTTCCGCGAAGTAAACCTGATTCGTTTCGATACGTAAAAGGTGCGTTCAGAAGAAACAACTTTGAGACAGTTATGATTAATATATTTGGTATGAGACAGAGGAGGTGCAGTGGCAGGTGACACGCTTACCATCCTCGCGGTCCGAGGTTCAAATCCTGCGCTGACTCCCGCTCAGGCCTTCTACCCTCCGGGGACGGTGAATTGGTACCAGATTCGTCTGGGAGGATAAGAAAATGACCTTGTACATCAGGCTGATTCCCACAAGTCATTGTATAGGCCGCACTGCATTCAGTTAAGACTAAGATTCTGAATGGAAGGATGCGTGCCGCATCCCAAAAGGGTTTCATCACTGCAAAGATTTCTCCTTGTGTAATATTTTATTTTTGGAATTCTAACAAAATTCGAAGTCTCTATTTGAGCGGAAATACATTCTGTTCGTCGTGATAGGAATCGATTGTCGAGAAGTCTGTGACTAATCGGACATTGACAAAGCGCGGAGAATTGGAATTTCTTTGGTAAATGTCTCGTTTCATGGGGTGTATTCTCGGCAAAGGGCACCGCGGTGGTGGTCTTTGCCGCGTGCACCTCGCAACAATTCATAACAATTATCAACTGTAGTTCAAAAATGTATGTAGTTTTTATATGATCCTGTCCTTTTTGTCATTCTTTCTTATCAGTTGCGTTCGACCGTACACGTGCCACAATTTGTTATACTATGTGAAAGTGCATCGAAACAGGAAAAAAAATCCCGTGCAATATCACTTTATCGTTTTCCCAACACCTCTTCCTTATCTGCGGGTTACACGTCCAAAAACGACGAAGAATTTTGGCAACAACGACTAAGCCATTGACCAGTCCCTTTCACGTGCTCTCTCTAAACGTTTTCTAGCTTTCAATGGTCTGTTTGGCCTAGAGTTCACATAATCGGCATGAGATTGAACGAATATTTTCAGATTTTCGAGAATCTCTTTTATGAATATATGAGCACTTTCTTCCGATAGAACGTTACTTTGCAGAACTCGAATAATAATCCGATAGTCGAATATTTAATTGTCCTTTGACACTTTCCACCTTTCTTGGAGATTCCTCATTTCACTTTGCTAGGTTCAGCATGAAAAAGGGTCTTCAGGCTCAAGAAGAATAGCGCCCTAAACATTCATAGGCGATGCTGAAAATTTGCCTAGTGCACACGCCATATCCCTCGAATGAGAGGGAGGGCGGGGGCGTATTTGGTGGCTAGGAGAAGGGAGTCGTATTTAGGCTGAAAATTTTTTTGATAGTTGGTTTTTCTCGTTTCAGGGACGTTGTGGAGGCAGGGGGTCGTATTTGCTGTTTTTGAGAAGGAGGGAGGTCGTATTTTGCTCCTGACCTTCTGGGAGAGTTTGCTAACCTCCCGTGGAGTGTTATGTGAAAATTCTTGGGGAATTCCCCGGAAAAAGTGGTAGTAAGTGAGGGGATCTTAGAAATGGTAGAAATAGTAGAGAGGGGAGTCGTATTCCCCTCACGCTCGGCAGCTTGATGAGGAGGGAACCAGAGATCGGGGTGTCGTACCAAACCCAAAAAGGGGGGGGGTCGTACTACCTCCTACTAAAACCCCCAACTAATGAGGTGCCCTGTGCGTACTTCATTTGAACGTGGCCCCGACTGCGCTTCTGCTGGGATATTAGAGTTCTGGGACCATGGTAGTAATGCTATCGAAAGACACGAACAGAAAGACAGATGTCTTCAATGGACAGATCTCAAAGCATACCACTCACGTTCAAATAAAATACGCCGCTGTGTCTTCCCCATTTCCATAGTGTGCACGCAGTTTCACAAGTGAACCTTGGGCGCTGTTCGGCTTGGTAGGATCAATTTGCACTTCCGCTAGTTTTTTTTTCTCCAGTCCAAAATGTCCCATTTTGAAGAGACCTGTAAATACGTGTGAAGCTGCAAAATGGTACAAGTGAGCTCACTTAGTTACAAGAACAGATTTTTATACGATGTCCTGTACAAGCTTCGCTAAGTACGGCTTAGTGCCCCCATCAAGCCGAACTGCGCTTGGATCTTGTTTGCAAGAGAGCCAATAAATGAATTACTTGCCCATTTTCGATAGTTTTTAGATCGATAACCGTGAAATGTTTGATCAGCAATACTCAATCATTTTTCCACGTCTACCTCACGCGCCTTCACTGTATGTTACTTCTTTCTGTGACGGTATTTTCCTAGTAGTTTGCAACTAAATGCTACAAGTACTCTTCAGCCCAACACATTTATTTCTTCATGTTCTCAAGTCTTATTCAATTTACTCTTCCACTTCTCCTGACTACACTCTTTTTTAGTTTTGGTTAAATTGGTGACTTTTCAATGCGTGACCAGTTTATTGTCGCTTTTATCTTTTTGATGAGTATCTCGTCAGCCTGGTAGCATGCGCGATTTTCTTTCCGTGCTACATGTCAAACACACACTCCGCGTAGCATCGTCTGCCTACTCTGAGCTTGCGTCCGACTGCACGTTGTATCACCATCTTCAATTCTCGTCCTCTCAATTTTCCTCTTCCGCTAGCAAATATAACCCTTATTCACAAGCGTTTCATCGTGGTTATTTCTATTACAGTCTGTTCACTCAATAATTTTACCCTTGTAAGGATATCTGGAGGATTAACTGTCATTATCATCATTGCGCTAATACCTTTCTTATACTCTATTCTCTTGCTTGATAGAGTAAGGATAGTAAAATTTACTACTTTCCTACCCTGTTGGCTGCCTACTACCATCCTTCCTCTTCTCGACTCCTCTTCCCTACGCAGAATATATCCCTTCCTAAAGCGCTAATCGTTACACCACATCTTTTCATCAAATGAATTTATCCTTGCAAGCATTGGGTCATCGATTTCCATTTTACTATCCTCGCGCTATTCGTGAAGTTGTACCAGAGTGGGGGGGGCGGGGCAATGATCTCGGGCGGTCTCCAGGCTGGCGCGCCAATGAGCGGCATTTCTGTGAGTTACCCCGCCAAACCACTGGCTGCAGCTTATTGGTTTAGCTCACACGCTAGACAGGCGCAGTTGGTGTCACTGAATAATACTCAGCTGAGCTTGTACCCATTCGCAGCATTTCACGCTGATCGCTACATTCCTCTCTTACAGTCTCTTTATTCGTAATTACCTTAAACGCCTTTAGATGATTAATTCCCTTTTTACTGTCTTCGCGCTGGTTACTTGAAGTTCTGCCAGAATGTGAGGGCGGAGTGATCTTGGGCGAAGGGCGTCCTGTACTCCGCCCACACACCTGGTGCACCTATTGTCTTGTTCGCTGCGGTTGACGGGGCGTTCCAAGGGGGACAGGTTTGGCGCGGCACCAGCTCGTTTTCTTCCTTTCTCCCTACCGCTTGCTGCTGCAGGAGAAGGAGCCGGCGGTCCACCAAACCCAGGCTGACTGACACGCCCCTTTATCCGCAGAGAGCGAGTCTGTACTGTATTTCTGCTCGCGCCATATGTTTTGTACTTTAATGTTAAGCGAGTTTTGGTATGTGTAATGAGTATATTTGAAGGCTGCTTCATGCGCAACCGAGTTTAGCAACCGAACACAATGACACTGGCGTCAGTTCGGAACCTCTTTTGTACGGAGTCTCCCGAGAAGGTCTGTTTTCCTTCAGTACTGCTGCAGCTGTAAACAATAACGAGGGTAATGATTTAGATCCTTGACGTCGAGTGGAAGAACAACCTCAGTCTGCAGAACGTTCCACAAATCACCGAATGCGTTCAACATCTTGATCTCTCATGGTTGCCAGCCTTATTTCTAATAATATTCTCTCCACTTCCACTTTATGATCTGTATCGAAGTGAGCATGCCCGGGCAAGGTGTCATTCTCCCGTTACTTACAGAATTGTGAGTTCGATCTTGAAGGTTTATAATTTACTCCCTACAGCTGAAGACAGTTCCTTGACTCTTTAAATGAACTATTTGATGCTATGGTTACTTTTCTCAAAGACAGCCCCAGCGCTCAACCGTCCGCATTCTCTATGGATGTCGCTCTTTCGCGGCTGCACAGTAAGCAATGAGGGTGCTGCGACTCTCGTAGGTGGAAGTTCTGACGCCTCTTTAGTTTTCCCGCCCACCAAAATACAAAAGCAGTTCAAGTTCTGACGCCTCCTTAGTTTTCCCGCCCATCAAAATACAAAAGCAGCAGTTGCTACGCGTTCAGTTTGTACACCGTGTTTTTCATTTTTTTTCACTATTATGTGGCATAAACACTGGATTACGCTAAGAAAGACTAGTGAGCCAGATGGCAGGGCATCGCTTAGCTGGCATGAAACGAACGTGTCCGAAGATTTAGTACAATGAGACTGCCAAAGGGTCTTTACTTAAGGGCGTTCTCTATGATTTTTTTTGCTTTTCTCTTTCCTAAGGAGTGACTTAGCGACTATACTTTTGAATGAACGACACCGCACACATTGTGCAGTCGCTGGGTTTTTTCTCGAAGGGGGCTGAAGCTGGACATGGAGAGCATTGGAGGTGCTTGATGTGTCACTCCTTTTTTCCATTTTCTTCCGGAAAAGTAACCTAAAAGATATTTTTCTTAAAAATAAGTACGCCACCCCCCACCAGCGACGGGAACGCTCCCTCCGTCTCGCTAGGAATCCCCAACGTGCGATGTGCCCTGATTCCTACTCTACGAGAAGGCCACTTCTTGGGAGTTTTCGGTGTTCAAGCCTGTATCATGCAACGTTTATGAAACGCCGTCAGAATGACGTCCTGGGTATCTAGAATTCAGACCGTGGGTTTTTATTGCTGTGTTAAATTTAGCACACAAATAAAATTGTTGCCAGAACACATGGAAGAGATGGCTTTCATGCGAAATGGCTTGTTTTTCAGTTGATATGCGTAGTTCTTGTCACTGATCTCACGTGCTCATTTTTCTACAATGCCTATAATTATTTTGTATTGGATAATAAGTCAACATTGCAATATATGGTAGGGGATTGTGCCCAATATATAGGTAAGTCGAGTTTAAAATTATATACGCTATTCAATTGCAATTCCATTTTTTTTACTACTGCATTCGGCTCAATATGTAACTGAAGCTTGTCGCGGTTGTGCAGGCAATCGATAATGCATCACTTAAGCCGCAACTGTTATCTGCGACGCCGCGCGGATTCGGTGCGAGGCCTTACATTTTCGAGTCAATCATGACACTCATTACCCCTAAGAGCGCGTT